CTGTTGAAGCAACAATAAATTAAAAAAAAAAAAAATGAAAATGATAACTTAAAATAAAAGAAAAAATGAAAAAAAAAGGGTTTGATTTATAGGTTTTTAATCTTATCATCTCTGCTTGCCTGTAACTTTATCATAGTTATGAGGGGTCTGGAATAGATTCCTTCCTTCAATAATAAGCATATAAAATAATAGAGACATCATGATATTCTATATACTTGAAATGTGATGTTTCATCACAAATGTCCATTAGGGAGTTGTACATTACTATAAGATGAGAGTTGTACATTACTATAAATTAAACTTAGTCGCACATAATTAAGTGCAATTTGATATGTGTTGTACGGTTTTGCTATGGAGTCATTCGATGGCTCGATATATGGAGTCATCCATGGTCATTTACAAATAGTGTTGTAACGCAACACCGGTTGTTGACATGTAACTTCCCGGTGTTTTTAGTAATCATTGGGTTGCTCGATGTGTAACATTTTCTGAACTTAATGATAAGTTGCCGTTGAAAAAAAAAAAATAGGTGCAATTGGATATAGATCTAACTCAATTCATTGAACCACCAATCAAAAATACATAATTCATTAGTTTATTCCTTATATATTCATTCAATCCCACACAACTTTTCCAACATAATTTTTAAATTAAAAAACAAATATAATTACTCCACACTCATTTATAAAGTTTGCTAAACACCTATTTACATATTTAGAACTATTGATTATTATAATAATTTTGCTATTTTCTTATCACGTTATAATTGATATTCATTTTAATTTGTCAAAATTATTGTGTTTTTCCACTAATTATGCTTTGACCATCAATTTTATTGCATTTCATGTTCATATATAGAAAGACGCGCGACTTTACTTTAATTTTTTTTAATTTTTTGGTACAAAGCTTTACGTTTATTTAATATAAAGTATATCAAATAAAATCATGTCTAATGGAGACAGTTTAAAAAGAAAATGATTAGATGTCAAATTCGGTCATATCCATTTCAAACCCTTTCTTACATTCTCATCATCTTTATTCCCGTTACGAAACTATCTCGTCGGGATTTATAATTAGTAAATCATCAGATAATCGTCGGAGATAGTTGATTTAATGATTACAAACGACGATGGAATGACACGTAACGAGAGCGTAACATCTTCCCTTTATTCTACTCTCCCAAACAATTACAAAATTATATATCTTAAACTATAGTAATATATTTAAAATTGCATAATTTTAATGGTTTGGGATTGGGATAAATTTGAAAATTAGGTTCATTTATGTAGACTCCACCGAACAAACGGCAACTGCCAGTCCACATCCGCTTCCAGTGGACTTGCTTTCACTGTATAATATCCCATTTTTATCCTAAAGAATATTTCTCACATTATTATTATTATTATTATTATTATTATTATATTATAATTATTATTATTATTATTTTTTTTTTGTTTTCTATAAATATTAGCTCTCTCACAGCTCCTCACACCTCTTCCATTTCCCGGCTTCAAGCTGAACTTGCTTTCAAACTCTCCCCCATTTTTTTTTTTCTCTTTCATTTTCCTTTTTCTTTTAGTATTTTTTTTGTAGTTTTTTTTTTTTTCATTTTCTGGGAGGAAAATGGGGTTGCTGCCAGATCTGGGTACAGAGATCGTGATTCCGGTGTGCGCCGTTATCGGAATCGTCTTCTCGCTCGTGCAGTGGTTCCTCGTGTCCAAGGTCAAGCTCTCGCCGGAGGCCGGCGGCGGCGCGTCGGCCGCGAAGAACGGGAAGAATGGGTACAGCGACTACCTGATAGAGGAGGAGGACGGCATCAGCGACCAGAACGTCGTCGTTAAGTGTGCCGAAATACAGAACGCCATTTCCGAGGGTAAAAATTAGATCCGGATCTCGCTAGATCTGATTTTTTTTAGCTTGATATTTTGTGGTTTTTGTGTTTATACATGCTCCGTGTGTATGAAAGGCATATAATTTGAGGTTTGTTTTGCTGAGCGAGCTTAATTTTTTCAAAATGAGTGAGGGCAATACTCACTTTTCTCAATTTCTTTCTTGGGGGGTGAATTTTTGAGAAAATTTTTTACAGTTCTAAGCAGACAAGTTTCCAAAGATTGTTAGTGTGTGTGTGTGTGTGTGTGTGTGAGCTGAGCTGGTAGATGATGAACTTGCAGCTGACTGAGTCGAAGCAGTTTAATAAAATAGAAAATTTACTATATAATGTTAGATTTGCTCACTGGATTCTTACCTTAAAAGGGTAATCTTTTTTA